CGGTGATAATCAAATACATCAGTGCTCGGGATTCATCGCGTTCTAACTTACCTCCCAACATGGGATCTCTGCAGCTAGGAGCCCTTAGGAACCCAAAGGGTGTCTTGCGAGTAGGAATGGGTAGTGGCAGATCCCCAATCTTGAGAAACAATGATCCCTGTGCGTTTTGGTGCCTGCAAGGATAGCCCGTCATAAGCACTGCAGAAGTCCAAGACCCCAAAACCTAGCAACAAAGCTTGAGCCCCAAATCCTACCTCGGGACCAACTCAACCCTATTTGTTGGATCCTAAACCCTGAAGCATCATTTGCTGGCGACCTGGTTGGCTGGAAGAGTGCGCGCAGCCGCAGCTCGCTGCATCAGAGCTTGCTAGGCCTCAGCTGTCAAAGGGATTCAAGGCTCCAAGCATGCAAATCAGAGGTTCCATCTTTTGAAGCCTGAGCTACCTTTTTTGGATCCCTCAAAGGTAAGTACTATTCCTAATTTGCACCATGACTGCCACTACTGCTTTAGGGGGTAAGACATCATCAGGTTCAAGCAAATTTGGAATTAAGGCCGTTTTCTTATGGCAATGGCAACTCAACCCTACCCAAAGCTCACGGGAGGATACACTCGTTCTGGATCCTTGCTAAAGGGAACTCTCGACATGGCTCCTGAAAATCTTCAGAAGCTGCTACGCATGCCCGCAGACCCCAGGAAGCTTGTAAGCAACTGAGCTGGACGAGGAACCCTAGTTGCCACATCCTCAACTTCTTGCACTGTCTGCAGAGCCCCAGCACCCTGAGTTATGCAATAGTCCTCATCTTAAAATCTAGAACATATTCGCAGCGCATTGTGCCATAGGGTACATGACTCTCTGCTGGGTTTGCGGGATCGCGCTCATGCAGGCATAGCCCGCCTATGCCTAAACAGTTTTCTACTAGTGTGAAGGAATGCTGTGCGCTGGCGGTGGTGAGAGCCCACGCCGTCTGCTGACAGTAGCCTGGTCCCTTTTGGAACGTGCTCTCAACTTTGACCAACTCCAGGGCCTTTCATAAGCTAATACGTGAAACGTCTCCGTGTGCTGCGGTTGCGGAAGGTGTTTTTTTAGTGCCAACCAGCTACTAGCTCTCGTGCTACTCCTAGCAGTCATGGCCATAGACCGTGGATTTCAGATCATGGGGCCCCTGTAGCCAGAATTCCGAACTCAACCCCGAATCCTTTCCTCTGACGTGATACGCCTTCGTGCAACCACGACATGTTGTGATTGCTGCTGTCAGGCGCTGACATCGGGAATCGCAAATCGGGGAAGGGGTGTTCCTCTGTACAAAGAGGCCCTGGACAGACATCACACAAATCGTGCAATCTGAAATCCTGATCTCTAGTTTTCGGAGACAAGGCCGCCACAAAATCAACACCTTCAATTCACAGTCCGAAACCTTCAGCAGTTCAAGTCGCTTCCTGCGTGTTACCCGCAGGGTGGACGCGTATTCGGACGGGCTGCTAAAAAACCATAGAAATCCTGGTAAAATGTCCAGAAGGTTAGGAGTCGAGGCTGTCGGCTAGAATGCGGATGTAGGGCTCAGGGTTTGGAGTGCAAAGATCATGGTTCAGGACACTGGTTAAGACCATGAAGCAGACTTTGAACTGTGAGACCGAGGTCCCAAGCACTAGGCCACTGATCTCAATCGAAAGGGCAGAAATAACTACTGACAGTCTCCATCAGAATTACTCTAGACATACACTTCTTTTACTCAAGACATGATTCTCCCAAAGTGGTGAACCCTTGCTGTAGTCATCATGATACTGCCCTGGCCCCAGCATGTTTTGCTAAGAGATCTGCTCTTGCCTTGAGCCTTCTCCTATTGCTACAGGGACTTCTGATGCAATACAGCGGCCTGGAAACGGAGCTTTAAATTCAACGGATTCTGAATTAGGCAGCATTTTTGGAAGATGTAGCGTTCCCAATTCAATGTTGTTGAATGCTCTACAGTCGGCATGGTAACCATAACATTGAGAGAAATGTTGATATCCAACTTTCACTCTGTATGACCACCGAAGCCATCCCGGACAAACCAACACCTGAGAAGCCTTGATTGAGAGGGAATAAGCCTTGGCTTTAGGGCAGGTTGGCGGCCTTATCATCTGATACTCAATAATCAGCAAGAAGTGCTGCAGGAGAATCAATAGGGTATGTTTCTGAACGATGACTTGACCTCTGGGAGGTCTGAAGGGATAAGATAACTTCATAGAGTTCTCCTATAGATTTTGACAGGTAGTGAGACTATACGTTCAGGGTTATCTACTGCTCCATCCCTTCGAAAACCTTTTTGTATCACAAGCTGCTAGGGTATTATTCCAGTGGTGCTTGCTTCTGGTCCCAAACCTTCTACGACTGAGCAGCATTGCCAGCGGCAGCCTGCGCTATCACGTTGATCCTACATAGTCCAGCAACAAAAAGCAAGCTTCAGGATGTAGGGTCATAGGTTGTGATAGGCTTCATCCGAATTACCTGGGCACTGCTACTACTGTTTCGCAAAAGGCAGAGGCATAGGAACGTACTACTGCTTTCCCGATGAGGACCGAGATTTTGCGAAGCCAACAGCCCTTTTGCATGGCGGTCCTGTTCATGTTAAGAGCTCTGGCAAAATCTGTTGAGGGATCTGCCGGCATCTTTCGATAGTCCTCAGCATATTGAACACGATAAGAAGACTGTTTCAAAAACAAATCTCTACAACAAAATACATGCAAAGACGTGACCGCTGCAATCACGTTTTTGACGCCGCCGGTGAGTCAGTAAGTTCAAGCTATGGCAAATGAAGAAACGCAAGTGCAGACCAATCCATTTCGAACCGGCAAGGGCGCCACCAACTTGATCTCAGACTTCTTTCTGTCGGCTGCTGAAATCAACAACTGCACCCGGCCAGGGGGTTTTAGTTTAGTCTGAAGGACAATCCTTTTGCGGTTGGCTGCAAGCCCATGCCTGCTTCCCGTCCCTCCAACAGAAAGCACCCTTGAGGTATTCCACATAGCAGAATAGCTGTGTTGGAAACACCCAAACCCACCAATTTGACCGTAATCCTATCGAACAAGGCAAACCCTATCAATCCCAACTCCAAAAAATCATTGGTGAGAGCAGTTTGCCTCCAGGGGATGTTCTGAGCAGGTCCCCCATCATAATGGAAAACTTTCTTGGATTTAGCATGTAGCCGCTCGTGGCCATCTTCAAGCACATCATTGGCACTATGAATTCAACAGACCAGTTAGCTCCTACCGCCACGTAGTAGAAAGAGCTTGTGATTAGTCTCATGTACGTAATGCACCAGCAGCGGGTCATCATCCAACCCGTCTTCGAGATTGCGTGGATACAATGCCGCTGCTGTTTAAAGCGAATGAGCAGAGATCATAGAGGAGTAAGTACATCTAAGGTAAGATTCAAAAGCATAATATTGTTCTGAAAAAAGGGGTTCTTAATCATCAAAACATTTCCTGGGCTCTTCTCGCAGGGAAGGGGGACCCTCGTAGAGAACAACCCTCGCTTCGCGAGGCTCGCATCTTTACGCCCGGTTTCTGCGCTCATTTCAAGGCCGCCTCGATGGCCGCGTAGTGGGGTACCTGGGGCTTTAATCTGTACATTAATGCTTTACCTCCCTTCTTCAATCCTGGGCCCCTTCAATCATCCCTCGGTTCTGAGGGCGCTGGGGATTGATTTGCAAATGGTGGTCTGGATTCTGCTAGGAGCCAACGCCGAATTACATCAAAGAGGGCCCTCTATCATTGGAACGCTTGAAGCAGCTGCCGAAATGCATTAAACATTTCCTTTTCATGAAATTCTGAAAGCAGGTGCATCAAAATCACGTGAGGGCAATTTCTGCATGTGGGAGGGAGCCCCCTAAGCCAGAGCATTCTCAAATCCATAACCATAGGGATACGTTGGAGCTGCCCAGCAAATGCGGACCCCTCAATCCACAACCTTCAATCGGCGGAGCTTCACAATATTACCAAAAACCATCCAACGGTTTGAATCCCCTTGTGCAATATCTGCTAGCCCCTATAATGATCTTGGTAATTGCCCAGAGCAGCAAAGTCCATGATAATAATGAGAACCCCCAATGCGCACTGTCCAAACCCGTCCTGCAAGAAGAGACATATGGGCCCTCTTTAATCTTCCCTCACGGGAGACCCAAACTTGTAACCTATGACAGTTCCTTTGGTCTCCAGTCGTCTTTTGTACTCCTTCTTCCTTCGCCGCCCATAGTAGAGCCCTCTGAGCGCTCTGTTCATAAACCCCGCACGCCTCATATGCACGTCTGCTGACATCCATGTATACGATGCGTATATATCCTCCTCCACACCAGGGGCTGCACTGAGTGGACGTCGCCGTAGGCTGCCAGCGAGAGCTTGGAGCCCAAGATCTTCTTCGCTGCGGCGGTGACCTGCCGGCCACAAACATATCGGTCCCGCTGTGTGGCAGCTGACTCTTCATAAAAACAACTTTTGGGGTTTAGGGAACTGGTCTAGTGATGATGGTTCGGGTTTTAGGGTTTGTGCGGGGTGCTGTGGTGACTGCTGTTTCCGTTGTGTAGAAGGTTCATGAAACTAAGAAGCTACTGAAGGCGTGAGAAGTGGAGAAGCACGCTCCATGTCTTTTGGATCATGCCTTCTGCGAAGCAAGCACCCTCTACACACATCCAACAGAGCGCGGCCCCCTTTTTACATCCCATGTCCGAAAGGAGAGCCCCACAAATGGAACTCAGCCTCAGAGCTGATGTAAGTTCGGGCAGATTGCGAGAAAAAGCTGGGGAGGTTGCCTGGAGATCTTGCTCAGAATAGTTTGCATCAACCCTTACTTTACGAACTGCGAAGCTTTGCTACGGGTATACTCAACTAGGATTTCAAAGTCAGAAGGCAACCAAAAGATGTTCAGCATGAGAGATTCTCTTTCGGAATCTGGCGTTGTGCGAAATCTCGGCAGTCCCAAGACTGCAGAGCTCGGCTGCAATCGGCTGCGCGGCTCATTTCGTCATGACGTCCTGGTGCCGTCCCGATTCCACCTTTTCTTATCAGGGCTGATCCACACATCTCTCTCGTCAACTCCAAGGTAGCAAAGGATGCATCCAGGAACTCCGAAGCACAGGCAAGCGGCACATCCTACAGGAACTGTCATTTGCCCTGGATATGTCTCATGGACCCAAATGGCGTCTTCTGGAACACCGGCTGCTTTGGGAGGCTTCTCTAGCGGGGCTTGGCGCCAGCCGAAGCGGATTGAGACGAGCTCTTTGATACCCTCGCCCATGTCCACTTGTCCGGGCGCCGCTGCTGGAGCACTGCGGGAGGTGAAATGTGGTGCACCAGTAGTGGTGCAATTCATGGGGAGGTACATCTTCGATCCTGCCTCCTGTAACCAGCCGGGAGTCGACGGCACTGGTAGTGCATGGATAGAAACTCCTGGAGCGACCTTGCCCATGAGTTCGTCTACATCGTCCACGTTCGGCGTCTTGCAGTATTTTACGGGATCCTTCCCACAGACCCAGGTCACCTCTTCGAACAACCACTGTCGTGAGGTTGGATGCAGGGCGGGCAAGTAGCGCCCATCTTCACGTACCAGCCAGACTTGCGATGTGGAAGCGTTCGGCATGGTCTGCACCTTGGCAAAGAAGTGTTCATCTGCACAGCACTTGCCCCCCTCAAGGTCGTTCATGTCCATTGACTTGCGATACTTGACCCCGACTCCATCTCCCTGAACCACACATTTCCATGCTTGCATCTTCGACGAAGCAGGCTGCAGGGCTGGAGAGGTCTGTTCCCAACGTGGCTGCGAAAAACTGACGTCAATGTATGTGGCTGGCCTACGGCTCTTGCCAACAAGTTCTCACGACCTGACACCCGGTGACATCCTTGGGTTTCTGGTAAGCGCTGTGCTGTGCTCTTACAAGGACTAACCAAAAGTTCCTCGCGAATGAGTTCTAGCGGATCATGGTTTCCAGTCTAGCAGGGTGAGAGCGATTGTAATGGCTAAGTCCGGTTACAAAAAGATCTCTCAAGCGTAACGAGTGATGCGGACACCCGGTCCACAGGTGACTCAGCCTTATGAGCATGTGTAAGAGCCAGGGTCCGCTTCTGTACCTCCGCCACGAAATCATAGCAGCAACTCAAGAGTTGATCAACCCACCAATCTTTCAAAGTAGCCTTCATATAGCTCATGTCACTATATGTCAGTCACCTCGGCTTCGCTGACGCCGTCAATGATCTTGGCGAACTCTGCTGCGGACCCGTACCTGAAGCAAGCTCTAAATCTGGCCAAAACACCCTCTCCCACCAAGCCATGTGCCAAAACAGAATGCTATTCTGCTTATGTGTCTGGGGAGGGAAAGGGAGTTTTTGAAGCCGGTAGCGGGGCCCATGGGTGTATACATACCTACAATGAAAGGCAGTCTGAAATTAAGCGTCGACACTTTGTCAAGAGTGTAAGGTTGACTGCGATGTAGGCCTTGAGACGTTTCCTCTAGAAAAGAGCTTGAGAATTTGGATCTTACCAATGGCCGGGCTGAACAATCTTCATCTCCAGAAGGTGGCACCAGCTATCGCGAGAATAGACAAATGCCCGTGCCTACGAGTCATCCTCACCATCATCACCACCACCATTATCCTCCTCGCTTTTTCTTCTGCAGCCCTCAACAGTCCCTTCTTCTTCGTTCCTGGCCGTGCTCAGGCCGTGTTTCCAGCAACATCACTACTCAATAATGATGCTGCTGCTGAGGATGATGATGGTGATGGTGAAGGATATGGCTCGAAGATGTTTGTGATTATGATGGTCATGATGATGATGCCAAAGTGAAACGTTGATTTCGCTTGTGGCCGTGCTTTGAAGGTTGTTTGCTTTTGGACTCTGGCTGCAGGAGCTGTGTTTGGGGTTTGGCAGAAAGCTGGCTGGAGTAGGTCATCCTGCCGCCTCTCCCAATCTTGTCATCCCTTTTCTGCTACCTCTTTGCCCTCACGACCCAAATGCTGCCTCTGCATCCCTGCACGCTCCCAAAACACTCCAGCACAGCATGAGGCCATGGCTTTCCAGTGAGAAGGAGCTGCTGTCCCATGTCCTGCAAAGGTTCAGCTTCAGTGTTGGAGATGCATGATGTAGAGTTGAGGTTTAAGGGTTGGGCCTGGGCATCGAAATGTCCTGCAGGCTGGGGTGGCTGAACGCATGTCTACCAGACCTCTTGCACTGAAGCAAGGGCTTTGTGTTCTCGGAGGGCATGAATAAAATCTACAGCCAATCAGCTAATGTTGCTTCTACTACTTTTCAGGAAGGGTCTGGGGTTTCAATGTTTGTGATTCGTGATGTAGCTCTTGGGGTTTGGGCTCGTGCGTCGTAAGAGAGAGCTAGGCGCTCGAGGGGACAGTTGTTGCAGAGGCCTTGGATCGAGGTTGTGGACAAGTACAGTTCGCAGATTCGTATCTCAGAGGGCCCTTGTTCCCAACAACCTGAAGCAGGTGCCAACACCTGCACTAACAACTTGAGGGCGCACGCGAAGGCTTTTTTTGTTTTGGGAGGGGGGGGGCGACAATTACTATTT